GAAGGTTTATCACTGTTTTCCTGTGGGGAATAATTTATATAAATATATTACTAAAAGTTTATTTTAATACATATACTTTTGAAATTGACCTTAAACTCTGGATCTGAAAATATTATGATTCTTGCTGAGTTTTTATACTTTAGGGCAATGTGTTCTATTCTTTTCTTTTCTTTTCTTTCTAGAACCTCTTTTGAATTGCATATAGCATAATATATATATATATATTTTAGTAGCAAGTGGGATTATATTTCAATTCTTGATATTTAGATTCTGTCAAACTCTGAATCACAAACATTTTTTATGTAAGCTCCTACTTCTAATAAGAAATTATAACCATCTGCTCAATCTTTTTATAAATTCTCTTTGCACACTAAAATAATAAGATTTGATCTGATATTAATGGAGTGTGCCCTGAGGGCACAACAGTTTTATGATCTTATGTGAAGCTGTGTTTATCTAACTAGAACATCTTTTCTCCTTGATGATATTCTGATATGTTTTGCTATATAATTTTCTTTGCTGATGTCCCATCAATGGAATAATTCTCTTTAGTTATTTTTATTCTGTTGCCATTATAAATTTACAGAAATCAGTCATGAATACTTTAGATACTTATTTTAATCTGATTAGAAATAAAGCACAATTAATTTTCCAGTGCTCTGTCCAATTTCATTTTATATTTTCTTCTCTTATTCTAGATGTAAGTAATGGACTTATATGTATTGTTAAGTATTTTAATATGTAAAATATTGAATATTAATTAGATCTTTAAGTAATCTTATTAGTGTGTTATTTTAGGTTAATTTTATTTATTAGTCATACAATAGAGAAAACATAAGAAGGAAGCCTTTTTCTTTTTCTCTTAATACGGGAGGAAAATTTCTTCATTTTTAAACTAAAAGTCTTTTGAGTTAGCCCTAAATAGTTTGGCTCAATGGATAGAGCATTGGCCTACAGACTGAAGGGTCCCAGGTTCAATTCTTGTCAAGGGCATGTACCTTGATTGTGGGCACATCCCCAGTAGGGGGTGTGTAGGGGGCAGCTGATTGATGTTTCTCTCTCATTGATGTTTCTAACACTCTATCCCTCTCCCTTGCTTTGTGTAAAAAAATCAATAAAATATATTTTTAAAAAGTCTTTTGAGTTAACAGATTTTGAGCTAATCTTCACTGACAAAACAAATTCAAGATATAGACTGGAACATATAGTCATGTGATCCAACCCTGTAAATTCTGCATGGCTAGTGGCCATTCCTCCTTGTCTGTCCTGAAGAGAATTTACTACCTCCTGAGAGATTCCATCCTATATGTTCTTTCTGACTATTATTCCAGTAGATGAAATACTTGATAATGAAAATGTCTCCCAAGAGAGGGTCTTCTCTGACGTGCATTTTAAGGCCATAGGAAATACAGGAGTTATTCAAGTGATGGGTAAGGAAGAGTATTCCAGGCAGAGGGTTCAGCATCAGTGTAGAAAACTGCAGCTGTTTACTGGTGATGGAACTAGAGTGAAAGTTAGGAAGCGATGAGAGGGCAAAGGTAAGCCTGGGTCAAGTCAAGCAATGCCTTTCTGTATCACATTAAGGAACTTGAATTTTATACTTTCGGGGAATGTTGATCAATGAAAGGTTTCAAGAGAAGGGATGGTGTGCCCATACTTGTATTTTAGCTAGAACTCTTGTCTTTTTATTCAATGGCTAGTTTATCCTTAAATGGAAAAGTGGAGGGTAGATTTGAGGTGGAAAAGGCTAGAGTGAGGAAAACCAGTAGGTTGAGAACCACTGCTGTAGAGCCTAAGACCATCGGAAAACACAGATATTTACATTATGATTCATTAAAGTATGAAGTAGCAACAAAAATAATTTTATGGTTGGGGGTCACCACAACATGAGGAACTGTATTAAAGGCGCAGCTTTAGAAAGGTTGAGAACCACTGTTCTACAACTTCCCAGGAGTAGGGCTACCCCCACCTCTTACCTGGGAGCACAACCACTTCCATTCCTTCTCCTTGAAGGCTGTTTAGTTTATGTATTTGCTCAATGCCTTCTTGTGAGAATTTTTACCCAAGAAAAGGGACTAAGAACTCAGGATAAAAATCTGGGAAATACTCCTTTCTATTCTTTTGCTGTTGAGAACATAGCAGCAAAAAGCCAAAAAAAAAAAAAGTAATTTCTCCATAATTTTCTTGCGCTTAATAGCCTACCTCTGTTTTACATAATGCATGTGAGCTCATTATATATTTTAATATGCTTTTATATTTTTAATCTCATTAAAATTTTATGACATCTTTATTGGTCTTAACATTACTATATTTCCAGGAGGTAGTCCAAGTTGTAGTCCATTTCAGTGAACTTGAACCAGTATTTATAGCTGTTAATCTCTGCCCTCAAGTCCTCATATCCAACACACATATATAGGTTTGTGTTCCACCTTAATGCTTATGATTGTTTTAAGATTTATATTTCATGACCTTGACCATATTGAAGGTGACAGTTTATACAGTCCAAAATAGATTTTACTAATAACATAAATATACACTTGGGTTTATAAATATAACTGTGATGAAAATAAAAGTCACGTATGACCCTGCCAAAAATGTACCTCTCTTAGTGATGTCTTTGACTTTTGCTCACCTATAAGAACTATTTTCACTCAGCTATTTCCTGAAACTCTTCCTAAAGGAAAGTGTTATAAAAATCTGAATTCTGTCACCTATAGGAAAGGTGGCATATAATTTATTGTCCAAATCCATACACTTAAGAAAGGATAGGGGTGGTATTAATAATTATGCTAGAACAACAGTTATAAGCCACTATTGTCCTAAGTAGTGTATAGTGACACTACAGGGCAAAGACAGCACATTTTCATGTGATATCCTCAGATTAATTTTGAAGTTCTTGGTTGATGTGATTTGACTCCAAATTTAGGCCATACCACTTCTGGTCTGAAATATTGCAGCACTTTCATTGTGTGCTTCAGGTGAATTTCGAGCCAAATTAACCTGCCCTGTGTGCTAATGACTCTAATGATTGGAATTAGTTCCAGTGAGCTTGGCAAGGACAGCATAAATGGTACTGTCACATTTCTCTTTTTATTAACTGTCTCACTTCAGCCAGTATATAGTTAAATCACTATGTTTTATTTGCAAAGCACTCTTAAATCAACAGCATTATTATCTGACTTTTAAAGTATATTTTTAGTGAATTTTTTGATATATGCATATGTTAAGAGGGAGATTCATGTTTAAATTTTCAAGAAACTTTAATTGACTTCAAACACCTCCTTGCCCTGCTCATAGCACCCAGAAGAACTATGGCTGGCTTGTAATAAGCACATTATATATTTGTTCAATGAATGAATAATAGTCCTTACAGTTTGTGCTTCCATATTTATGACATGCATTTTTTTGTTTGTTGTTGTTCTCAAGCATTCTGTGCTTAAAATCTATTTATGGTACTCCTGTTCCTGGGTTGTATGGAGACTTCCCTGGGCTTTCCATACTTTTTGATTCAACCAATCCAATCAGGTTGTAATTAGCAGCGCTGGTTTCCTTTGCTTCAGTAGAAAGTTTTCTGTGTTCTTTTAGTTACAATCCACATTCCGCCCCGACTTTCAGATTTGCCCTTTGCTTTTTTGGTGCAAGCCAAGAAACCAGATGATGTAACCAAATCTCTCTTTTTGCTCTATTTAAAGTTTTAGCTAGGGTAATGTTTCTGTTAGCCTGGTTTCCAAATGAAATCTAAAGTACTGTTTTAATAAAAGTGAGGTACAAGGGAAAATCTAGCAGTTAAATTTTAAAAGATCTTTCTATGCGCAGTAACCTATAAAGAGCCACTGTCTAGCCCGAGAAAGGCAATTTTCAGATGGAGATGTGTGTGTGTGTGTGTGTGTGTGTGTGTGTGTGTGTGTGTGTATGTTCATAACTTTGACTTTTCATGAATAAAAGGAGGATATTTTCTTTAAGGGGAAATTCTATTATAAAATTTTAGACATACCCTATTTTAATTATAGTTTATATACATATATCATCTCCTGTATCATTATTTAGATATACTTTCTCCAGAGTGGACATAAGTATCATAGAAACTTTATCTTAGGAGAAGTCAGATTGATCTGTATTTTTGTTTTTTACTCCCATGGTTTTCATCTTCCCCATATTGCCCTCATTTCTATTCTCTACCATTGATGTCAAACACTTTTCTGAACTAATTCTTATGTCAGTAATTTTTACTTTAGTGTTCTTCCTAATACATTTTCTTCTTGAAATATTTACATTTTAACATGCTAAGTTTAACATTTATTTTTGTAACTGGAATTTTAGGTCTCAGTATAGAATCTATGTTTTTCTGGGAGCCACACCAAACTCTGTAACACATGCACATGTCCTCCCCCTTCCTCCCCAAACACACACACACACACACACACACACACACACACACACACACTTGTGTAGATACCTGAACATGTGTATGGATATTTTAGTATGAGTAAGGCTGTGTCATCTCTCTCTTATGATAGAAACTTTACTTTTATTTTAAGTTTCCATGCACCTTCAGTAATGGGATCCTCACATATGGAAGGCCTGCCTTGGTTTTATTGTCTGGCCAGTGTCAGGAGTGGGTCTCTGGAAGCAAAAGGGAATTGTATGGAATTTATGTAACATCTTTGCCATTTGTCTTAAGTAGTTTCAGCTGAATAAACCAAAAACATATTTGTAAAATCGACTATAGCAGGTAGGTGCTCTAATCCATCTTGTTTTTATGAAGCATAATGAGCAGTCTCTGTATGCTAGATTCTCATGTTAGTATCATTGATATAGGGGTTATTTTGGACTTCATCTCTGAGCAGCAAAAAGGACATTATACAGTGATTTCACCAATAAGTCAGTCTTACAGCAAAGACTTCAGAATGTGGTGGGATAATAAATATTTGCTAAGCCAAAGCAAAGATGAAAGAATTTTGAGTTATGATATATACTGACTAACCATATTTATATTTCAGGTCAGTTGCTCCGGTTAAAAATGTTTCGAGAGGATCACGGGTCATGGATGACAATGTTCTTCAGCACGATTCTCTTTCTCTTCATATTTTCTCACATATACAACATGATTCTTCTCATGGATGGGAACATGGGGTAGGTTATATTTCTGTTTTCTACTGTGGTGAATGTCATGTTTGAAACTCAAAAGAATTCAAAGAGAATTTCTTAGTTTTTTAGCAGACTAAATGTCTTTTACAAGTATTTTACACTAAGGAGGAATACTTGATGCATTTTCTTACTTAAGACATTTCAAGTATTTTCTCCCAGAAGCTTTACACAATATTTATGTTGTGTTTCTTATCCTTTAGGTTCTCTGTGAGGGTAGCTACTAATTTCATTACAGTGACAGAATGTCTGAGAATCAGGAAATCTTATTTTTTTGTTTATACTCACTAGATTAGTAAGGCTGGGTAGAGCTGAAGGTCTCCAGATTTGCAATTCCATTGCTCTCCAATGCCTGGCTGAATAAAGTGTTTGATGCTGGTGGCATTTAAAAAAAACAAAACTTTCTTGGCAGTTCCAACAGAAAGACTTTTGTTATAAATGGATCGTTTTAGAAGTGGCCACCCTGTATTAAATCCAGGGTTGTGATCTATACTTATCTAATCACTAATCAAATCACCATGGCATGAAGAAGTGCTGCCGAGTAGATTGTAGATTATTTTTACCTTTCTCCAGGTCTCGGTGTGCTCTTGGTAAATTTGAAGGGCAGAAAATAAGGAGAATTGCTTAGTCTGTAGCGTTAAGAATTAGATTAGTGACAAGAATAAGCTGCTTTCGATACCTGTGGTGCACTGAAGTAGTTCATAAGGAAGGTGCTGATTTATCCTCCCATAGATTGGAAAGTTGGATTATAGCCTTTCCTTCTAGATGGAGGCGAGACAAGCTTGTCAGCCAGTTCTATAGTGCAATTACTTTGATGTTATACATATGTCTTAGCCACCGCTGTTCAATGCTGAGAGGGATAGCTTAATTAAAATTGTATTTTCCCCCCCACCATTAAAGGTGATGAATAGTAAAGGGAAAGCAGGTATTTCACAAGTTTTACACTTTCATCTATACTAACAAATGATACATTCAAGAATGTTATTTTAGATCAAATGTTCAAGCTTTAAACATTAAAATGCTTTATTTATAATTATTTCTTGAGCTTTAAAATATGCCATTTCTACTGGATCTGTTTTTAAACGGTGGAGCTATACATTCTAACGCATGGCTACTCAGAATAAGCCTCGGCTGCAGAGCTATGCCTGTGATAATGATGCTCTTAGAATCACCGAGCACAGCCAAAGGTCTGGAGCTGAAGTGCAATGCTCACCACTGGAACCAGAGGGAGAATGGATCCAGGTCTCTAACTTACATTTTTAAGGCTGCTGCTGGAAATAATACATTAAATAGTATGTAAAATATATCTTTTTCTCAGAAGTTGACTTTTCATCCAATTCTATTTTTTAAAAAATATGGAGCTAATAAACTAACCATAAGTGCTTGTTTTGAGGGAAAAACAGATTTAACTGTAAGGAGTTAAATGCAACAATAGATAATCCCTGGCATGTTGTAAAGCACTCAATAGCTAATAATAAAACTCGCCCTAATGTGAGCCACCAGTCATTGAGCACTTGGTACCAGACATGACTTGTCTCTCTTAAGCCTTATGAAGACCCTATGCAATAAGTATTTTTATTATCTTCATTTTACAGAGTCAGAAATTTCAGGCCAAAGAGATTTTGTCACTCGTCTAAGGATATGTTATAATTAATCTGCATTTTAAGCAATAATAGAGGACTAGAATTCACAGCTTAATCTTTCTGTAATTAAGCTGTGGATTCTAGTTAGATAGCAAGCTCTTCGGCTAGCAGATTTGATCCATGGTCAATCCTGTCGCTCACTATATGCCCATAAGCCTTTCTTTATATTTTTGCCACTCAATCTGAATTTGAAAGAAGTGGGAGGTATGTGCAATACACTAGAATTCATGTGTATTGATCTTACCTAAAATCGAAAGTGATTTCCTTGGATTCTCAGACTAATTACAGCATTCCACATTCTTATGTATCTCTTACACTCTTCATCAATATGCTTCATCTTTGTAGGAAAAAGACCATTTACTGAAAAGATATCTTAACGGTGCCACTTTAAAAATAAGTCCAAAGCAAGGGATAAATTATTTAGTTCTATAGATAAAAAAATTTCATCTCTATTTATAAAAGGTGTGTTATTGACTTTTATGACCCATGCCAGGGAACACTTTAAGGTAGGAATGTAAACTTGGAGCAAAATCAGCTCTAGAGCAAATGGATACAACTGTGCTTTGGGGGTTTTCCAGGAGACAGCACGAGGCATTGCCTCATCCTTTGCAGGAACGATGGAGCCAGAGGGAGTGGAAAGGACAGTGGGCACAGATACCACAGTCAACTGGCTTCATACAAGAGGGTTGTTGGCGGTAGAGGAGCACTCAGGATTCTTGATGGTGAATCTGATGTCCACTGGGCATCTCAGTGTACTCTGGTGTGTGGATCTCTCTAGGAATATTGGTATATCGATAGAACTATTCCGAAAAGGATTTCAAGGATTTTCCATGATGTCTAGACCTTCAGGCCTACATTGAGTGGGTGTAAGGTTTCCGAGAGGGAAAAAGGAGTTTTCCTAGAATGATTGGCCTTCTCTCCCACTCCTACCCTCGTTTTAGTATTGGGTGTAAATGTAGACTAAGACAGAGCCCTTTGATTCCTTGTTACAAAGAACACAATTCCTAGGTTTATCTGACTAGAAGCTCAAGAGTGTTAGCCAGAGCTAACTTGATAAGAGTCAAGTTGCCTGCTCCTGGCTCTCTGAGTACAGTGAATTTCCTGGAGTATGCACTAACTCTTACACCTTTAGCCACCTGTGCAAGCCAACAACGAGGCAGTCAGGTGGAGGGGAAAGAGGTCAGTTGGCTGGCAGGGCCAGAAGGGACCGAGGTTCATGCCATTGGTATTTCCTACACTGAGGGAAGTCTCATCTTATCTTTGATTCATTCCACCTCTCTACACCTCACACCACCAAAATGCTGCTATCACAACTTCTTTTAGTCTTTCAGTCACCTCGACCAAACTAAATTCATCTCTCTGTAAATGTCTGAGCTGTGGGCGAGGGTTCTGCTATATATAGAAGGCTCTGATCCTGGGCAAGGTTTTAGATGTAGACATACTTTATAAAACAACTTCCTTTTTACAAGGTGGTTGACCAGGTAACCTGAAGCTTGTCCTAATACAAAATCATTAGAAATGCTGGAAATAGGATGCAGCCGATAAACTAGTTTTCAATCTATGGTTGGGCTTACCCATAAGAAGGGAAAAACCCAAAGCCAGAAATGAAGAAGGACCTGAGAACCAGGGCAGTGAGCCTGTGAAGTGACACTTGAGACAGTGACTTAGGGACTTGAGTTTAATTCCTGTGTCAGGACCAGAAATAAGGATTTGGTCTCGTATTAAGTGAGAAATTGAAACAGAAGCCCTTGCATTAGGTGGCCCTGAATTAGAAAGCACATAACCACTAGCACAGGCAGCATCTACAGAGCTTCTCTGACTTACCCTGGACATTGCGTGACAAACAACAATCTTCCATGGAATTCATAACCGCAGCTGTGGCTTTTTAATTTTGATATACATTTTTCTTTTGCTTTTAGATGCGTTCCCCCAAAACAACAACAACAACAATAAAACAACAAAATAAACAAACAACAACTCATCCGTGGCCATTCTTTTCTCCCAGTTTCAGGGTCCTACTTTTCTCTGAAGCCCCTTCCCCAATAACTTCCAGAATTCCTCTGGTTTATTATTTAGAGCAATTTAGTTCCTTTCATCCCAACTTCTGTCCATGGCAGTTTATCCGGGGTTTTTCCTTTCATAGCTGAAATCTTAACGCATTTTCCAATCAAAAGCACCAGTCCTCTGAGATAAATGTTGCTGCCTTCTCAAAATGCCAGAGCATTTTGTGTTTGTTGTTTTAAAAGTAGCAATTGTCCTTTATCTTTTGATTCAACTAATGTTTAACTGTCTCTTGGGAGAGAGAGAAGAAAAAGTGGCAAAAAAAAGCGCGTTTTCTAATCATCACAGTTCAACAGTCTGCTGAATCATTTACATTCAGGGCTGAAGCCTAACGAAAGTGAGATGATAATAGGGAAGAAAGAAATATGAAACCATTTCTTTCCCCACAGCCACGAGACTTCATTAAAAATGATTCTAAATAAATCCCTCTCCTTGCTTTTTAAAAATTTCATCTGTGTTCAGCTAGCTAACCTAAAGCCAGTCTATTCAGTAGAAAATTTCTATTTGGTAGAAATAAACAGAGGTGTGTAAAGTACAGGTTGAGGTTTTTCTAGGAACTGACACTTTAAACCCTTTTTGATGTCGTCTTTTTTAGTCATGGAATTTTTATAGTGTCTACAGTATAAAGCCCTAATTCAAGAAAGGCTTTCCTGATGTTTTCAAATATCCCAGCTCCCCTCAGGATAACACATGTCTTATGTGTAAGGAAGGAAGCCTGTCCAGTGTTTCCCATAGTGTGGTACGCGTACCCCCAGGGGTACGGGAAGAGTTTGGTGGAGGTACGTGTTGCACCGGAGTTTGGTGGGGATATGCACTGCACCATGCTTAGCTGCGCCTAATTCTACATTCCCATGAGTACGAGGGGTACTCAGCATTACAAAAATTATAGAAGGGGTACACATATGTCAAAAGTTTGGGAAACACTGGACTGTGCACCATAGTTGATGTTCATTAAAAAAATTCCGAAAAAAGCCACTTGATGGCAGCAAAGGGCATGTTTTCAAGCACTGACAGCCTCACTGTATTGTCTTTCTCCTCAAAGAAAAGAATCTTTCGGATTTCTGAAGCTTGATGTTGAAATGGTTGTGTTCCTAATTGTTAGTGGGCTTCTTTGAAAAAATCCATGTAATGAGCTCTATATAAACACTTACTATTTTGTGATGTGTGAGGCCCCCTTTTATGTTCTAAAACAATTTTAAATAATAGTGTATATAACCATGTTTGGGCACACGTCTATATTTTATAGACTTATTTCAGGGTTACAGGGATATCACCGAGGAAATT